ATGTCTATCTTCCAATTGATCTGTCCATTGATAAAAAAAAAACAAACATTTCTGTAGCTCCAATATACAGTAGAGCGTCAATTTTCCGAATCAATTGGGGACTGGGGTTGTTCGTATAACTGATATTTCGGATAACCGATTTATGTACGAAAAAATAGTTTAACGTATCTGATGTAAAAATTTTTATCCGTTGCGTGTCGCTTTGCGTTGAATTTTCGTCGATGTTAAGCAAAACAAAGACTATTGTATCGTTAAAAATTATTTTTTTTATTTTGTACGAACAAAATAAATATATTGAAAAATATAAAAACAATAAAAAATTATACTTCAGATGTTAATTTAGTATCAAAAATGTAAAATATTTGAGTAGCCCAAGACATAGCCAAAGATTGAAGCGCCACAGCATTGGCGAAAATTTTAATTTGCCGACTGGAATTCTTTCAGATGATTGACTTTCGGAAAATTGACGCTCTACTGTATTTATATATTTTAAAGCAAATACCATCAGTTAAATTTTTAATTTTAATCAAAATATTTATTAAATGAATTAATTAGTAGACATTCACCCAGTATTGTTTCCTGTAACCATCTTTAAAAACATTTTTCTACTCTCAATTTTCAGTGTTTAAAATTTGAGTAGAAAAACTGACTGAAACACTGAAAATTAAAAGTATGAATAAAATTATTTATATAAATTGTATTCAATCAAACTGATTTTAAGTTTTTCTTGTACCAAAAGTTAATAGGTGAACTGACATCTAAAAAAAGCTAAATCATCATGACAATCATTACTGAATTTGGAACAATAATTTAAAATGCAGACACACATCTATTTCTAAATTTACATCTTTATGTATTAATCAACTTTAAAATATTTCCTGAAACATCTGTATAAAAAAGTTTCTTATATAAATTTTTATATAGGAATTTGTTAGATTTATAGATAAAAAATAATATATAGAAATTTGTGGAAATTAATACAAAAATCTTTTTAAATTATATAATGAGTACCATATTAATTTAAAATTCATATTAAGCTAATTGATACAGAATGCTACTATTTAAAGCATAATAATCCAAGTACTTTTAACTCTATGTAATTTTAGTAAAAATCTGGAAAATATTTAAAGTGTTTGTTATTTTTCACAAATATAGACTTAACATTTTAATAGTTATAAATATTAAAAACTTTTTACAAAAATACAGTAAGTTTGGAATAAAATTCAGAAACAATGTAGATTTATCAAGAAGTCAGCTTTACTTGTTGGTTCTGAAGATATTTTCTGTTCTTTAGAACCAAACTCCAATAACTTGAAAGATCTTGACAACAAATAACTCCTTGAAAAAATTTTGTATTATTTCTACGAGGTCTGTTCAAAAAGTATCGGACTTTTATTTTTTCCACGTAAACCAATGATGCGCAGGAGGCCTCTTTCGGTGGAGTTGTGGAGGAGACAGTCATGCACAGCCCTGAATTTTTTCCTGCCTGCAGGAAGCATCAGTCGCTGGCAGTCGGTCTATGAATGAGAACATGTAGTGAGTGCTCGTCGGATTCCACTAAGTTGGAAAATGACTGAACAACGTGAGAGCGATATTGCATCAAATTTTGCCAAAAACCTTGGCGATACCCAAGCGTAAACCATTCGCAAGATTCAGCGGGCTTTCTGGGACGATCCTCGAGGCCAAAAAATCGCGGCAGGTCCACGGCAATATCAAGGTCATGTTGACAGTTATTTCGACTCTTGTGGGGTGGTGTATTGTGAGTACGCACCACAAGGCCGAACCATCGCTAAGGAGTACTACTAGGAGGTCCTTCGTCATCTTTCCGATGCTGTGCGACGCAAACGACCGGATCTCTGGTCGATCAAAACTTGGCAGCTCCATCGTAATAACGCATCCACCCATTCTGCACATCTGATTTGGGCTTTCGTCGCCAAACACAACACTCCTGTGGTTTGTCATGCTCCGTACTCTCCCCACATGGCTCCGTGTGACTTTTGGTTATTTTCCAAGCTGAAAATGCCACTAAAAAGAACCCGATTTTAGTCGAGAGAAGACATCATGCGGAATACGACGGACCAGCTGATGGCCATTCCAAAAGATGCGTTCCAGCAGTGTTTCCAGCAATGGCAGGAACGCTGGGAGAAGTGTATACACTACCAAGGAGACTACTTTGAAGGGAATTAGGGTTTTGTACCTAAAAATCAATAAATGTATTTTTGCCGACCAAAGGTCCGATACTTTTTGAACAGCTCTCGTAAATTTACTTAGAAACAATAGTTATAAATTTATCAGATAAATTTTTGATTTGCAAAAATTTATCTGATGTTCATCTGATATCATTTTGTTGCAAATTTTTCATTTGCAACAAAATGACAATGAACATCAATACTGTATTTCATAAAGCTAATCATTGGAGTCGTAAGAGACAACTGGAGAAGTCATACTTATTGTAAACTAAACAAATTTTAGATTATTATTATGGAAATCAATAATTTAAGATCACAAAATAAAAGTGTTTATTAATCTGTTAATTTTTAAAGCAATGTTTGAAATACAGTACTTAAATAAATTTTGAACAAGAGTGAGTTGTATTTTTTGAAATCACACAATAACCAAAAATCCAGCAATAAAAGAACAACACTTTAATAAAACTAACATTTTCAATCAACTTTATTGGTCATTGTCATCAACTTTGGTAATTGAGTGATTTCATAGTTACACATCTAGTTCCTTTGATTGTTTTTATATTATATTTTTTGATTTGTAACTTCATGAAGATGTAGTTTTTAACAATACTACTAATTTTTTTCAGTGAATAAGGATGAGAAGTAATTTTATGTTGATTAATTATTAAAGAAATAACTATTTTTACAATGCACAAATTTTCAATATCATTAATATATAATCAAGTATACTTATCTAATCCAGCAACTTTATTTTTTCTGTACAACAAATTTTGATCTTTTTAAGATAAAAAATGTTTGTTGTAAGATCTTCCTCAGGCTTTAAACTATTCCAACTTCAAATAATACTCAAGGAAGGTCTTAGGAGATCAAAAACATTTATTTTACAGAGAAAGTTGCTGGAGTAGATAAAAGTACTGTGGTTATATATTTGTTTCATCATCTAGTTCTGTGAAATATTTGATCTTTCAATATGACAACTTTAACAGAAAGACACATAACAGATGCAGACCAATTTTTATAATAAACTACAATAATAAGTATTTAGTTGTAAAATTGTTTGAAATCAGTCTAAGTAAAAAGTTACCATCAAAAATTCTTTATCTTACTTTATCACTTTTTATTCTCAAATGATAAATAATTTTCTAAAATTTTCATAAAACTGAAATTACATTTAAAAAAAAAAAAAATCAGATAAAATTATCTTGTGACAACTATTATGATATTTATTAATATGAATATAATAAGAAATATATAGATAAAATAAATAAAACAAACCAAAGTGAAGATAAAAGTAGATATAAGGGGAGGCTGAGAATATTGTGAAGTATGTGATAAAATTACACAACAGGAAAGAGATAAAATAGATATAACAACCGGAAATGGATAACAAATTAGAATTATTAGTATAAAAATCTGTTTCTGTTCTAATTTTTCTTAGACCTCATGATAAACTGTTTGCAAAATATGTCTACTTCAATTCATATTCAAATTTATTGAGTACAATAAAATAAACTTGTGTAATATAACTTCAAATATATTCAATTCTGTTAGAACATTTAAACTCAATAAATCTACTTATAACTTAGAGAAGTCAAAACTTCATTTTTAGAATTTGAATTGATTTTGGAGTTTAGATATATCAAATTTAAACAAACAAACTACATGTATGTAGGAAAAAATCTGTGTGAAATTTATTATTTTCTACTTTTAACTATTTTAAGTTTAATTCTTATAAAATTTTCTTATTACAATAAATGACTTTCAATTTCTACAACAACAACAAAAATTAAAAAGTTGTACATCAACTTTTTTCCTTACATTTTAATAATATTTTTCACTTATGCATAATTTTGATAACCAAACCTCGATACAAAAACCTTTAAAAATGCAGCCTTTTCTATTCACTTTTCAAACATTTTCGGCCATTTGAACCACCTTCTTCGGGAACGGAAAAATCGAATGATTCCGATTTCTATAACAAAACTTGTTTTGGAACTTTTTAAACGTTAGAATTTTCTAAGAAAATTCCAAAATAAGAAGGTCGTTCAAATGGCCAAAAACATTTGAAAAGTGAATAAAAAAGGCTGCATTTTTAAAGGTTTTTGTGTCGAGGTTTAGTTATTATTTAAGTGCAGTGAGAGGAGTGCATAATTTTGAATTTAGATAATAAACAGATAATTATGATTGCATCACAGCTGATTAAACAAGTGATAAAATTTCATAATTTTATAATATTACCACCAATAATTGTAATTTATAGATCATTAAAATTGCAAACAGGAAAAAAAAATGATGTGATGATGTTTATGCATAATTCAAGAATGCCAACCTTTATATTCAAATAATCATTTATATGAAATCAATATTAAAAATTCCGTTTTAAAACACATTTCCATCAATCAAACTATTTTTCTGTTAATAGTTTAAAGCATTCACTTATGGTAACTGAAGTAACGTGTATAAATTATTATTTTGCCATTTAAATACGAAGAGGGTCATTATTCTATAACATTCAAACCATGCTTTATTTTCTCGCTCTATAACGTTGGTTTAATGTTGACCGATAAACCTTTTGACCGCCATTTTGAAACCGTTCTAAAAAAGGACACGAAATAGTGCAAAAATATACTTAAATATCTTGTATAAATATATATATATAGCATTTAGAATATGAAGGAGTGATTAAAACTGTTCGAGTAACATCTGGTAACTTTTATAATGTTATCAATATAGGTGATAAGATTACAATTGTTTATCTTAATAATATATTGGTAAAGGGTAAAAAAGCAAATAAATAAGAGTAATAAATACTGGTTAGGGATATTTTTGAAGATTGTTCCACTTTTCTGAAAACAATTCAACAAAAAACTCATGATTTTTTCGATGAAAATCTCCCGCGAGCCAACCTCTACGCCCTTGTGCAGACTGATCTTTTTTCTAGTGGAGACACCTACATATTTTAAATGACTTATTTACATAAAAAATTATTATTATTATTTTAATTTTTTAAAATTAATAATAATAAATTAATTAATTATATAAATTTTATCATAAAAATAAATATTTTTTATGATAAAATTTGACAATTGTTAGCGATTGTATCGATAAATTATGAATTAGATAACGCTGTTTGAATGTTAGATTTAATCTTTAAGTACCACTCGAAATAATTTAAATTTATTATTAATTTAAGTAAATATCGTCTGTTAGTATTATATTTGCGAATGTATTTTTGATTATTTAAATAAATTAAAATAATATTTTGATTATTTTGGAAAAATAAACTCCTTCCGCTCCTTCTTTATGATCTCCTTTTCGTGCTAGTAAAGAGTGCGTCCGACAAAATCAAAAGTAAATTCAAAATATCTTCGTTGGTTTTGCTTCGTGCAATCATTCCAGAGAAATATTTTCTGTACTTTTTGAATACCTTATTCCTGGCTTCCTTGGCTTCTTGGCTGAGTTGCCCTATTGGCAGTAAAACTTAATCTATTAGCCACCAATTGACCCCAATAGGACTAAACGCTGCATTCCGACCAGGCCGAGGAAGCGCTACTCAACTAAGAAACGTCGCAACATTGACTCTACTCAGTCTACAAGCGACCAATCCACCATCTGCTCGCCGCCTATGGATACTCCTCCTGCTGCAAGAAATGTTCCTCGACGTAGACGTGTCACTCGTTCAGTCGCGGCACCGGCCATCAATAGCCAGTCGCCCAACTGCACCCAGCAATCAACGCCTACTCATGCCCCTCCACCAGGGACATCCCAGGTTAGTGAATTAACTCCACCTGTATCACCTTTGCATCAACAGCACGAACTACCAGTGCAGCAGTCGCCACCTATGGAACCAACGGCAACGCAGTCATCACCACATGTGGGCCCAGCGACAGCACCTACTCCACCTGCTGCCCGCCCCCCCAGCAGCCCACCTGCTCCACAACGACCGGTCGCCCCAATCAACGGCACGAGCATACCCTCTACCGCTGACCAGCCGAGCAACAACGACCCGCCATCATGGGTGATCGCCTGGGTGTCCCGTTTCGAGTCTACCCTCGACGAGGACATGCTGGAAGGGGTACTTAAAGATTTCCTCGCACTCGTCCACCAGGTATGCAACATCCGTGGCCCACAACGCAATCGCCGTCGCCCACAACAACATTCATCGTCTACACGCGACCAGAACACCGCCACGGAAGCCAGCGAGATCCAGCGCCTCTACAGAGCTAACCGGAAGCGTGCATTTGACCGTGTTATGGCCGGGACCCCCCGCTTCTGCCAAGTTGACTCAACATCCGTCTATCAGCACTTCCGAGGTATGTATGAAAACCCTCCATCCAGAAGCCCTACAGCCGTCCCTGTCACCCCTATTGCGCCTCCAACGACCGACAATCCGTTTGACGAGCCTTTCACGCCTACAGAAGTGGCAAAACGACTAGCGAGAGGCCACAACACAGCGCCTGGCCCGGACAAGATCAGATACCTCCATTGGAGAAAAATAGACCCGAGAGGTCTGATCATCTCCGCCATCTTCAACGCTGTACGGCGCACCGGATACATCCCTCACAACTGGAAATCCTCTACAACTGTCTTAATACACAAGAAAGGGGATGTCAACTGCCTGAGCAACTGGCGTCCTATCTGTTTGTCCAACACGCTGGGTAAACTTTACTCAGCGTGCCTGGCGGACCGCCTCCTACGATGGTGCAATGACAACCAGCGCCTCTCAACAGCACAAAAGGGATTCCTTAACTACCAGGGTTGTCTTGAGCACAACTTCCTGCTCAATACCATCATTCAAGACGCCAGAAGAACCAGAAACGACTGTTACATCGCCTGGATGGATATTGCCAATGCCTTTGGCAATATCCCCCATGACACCCTCTGGACATCCCTACGCTGGCATGGCTTACATCAAGATGCCATTTCCACCCTTCAGCAGCTTTACGAGGATTCCACCACGTGCGTTAGAACCTGTTCCGGCTTCACTAACCCCATTGCCATGCGTTCCGGGGTCAAGCAGGGGTGCCCAATTAGCCCCCTACTTTTCATCATGGCAATGGAACCTGCCATTCGCCAAATACAAGCAGCAGGGAAGGGCTACCCCATACATGGTCACCACGTCAGCATTCTCGCATATGCAGACGACGTTGCTCTCATCAGCAACTCTGCCACAGGACTACAAGACTTACTAAATACCATCACTGACTGGACTGACTGGGCGGGCATCCGCTTTAACATCAACAAATGTGGGACCCTCGCCGTTTTGGGTAAGTTACATACTGCCGGTACTAACACTTTTAATATCAAACAGCAGGAACTCCCAAGATTGGCAAAAGAAGACGCTTATAAACACCTTGGAGTACCCACCGGCTTCTCCAAGTGTGACACAGAGGAAGCAACAACAAACAACATCCTTACCTCCATTGAAAAACTGAACTCGTCAAAACTGGCACCGTGGCAGAAGGTTGACGCACTTAATACCTTCATTATCCCCAAGCTCACCTTCTGCCTCACCACCGGCACCACGCCTAAGAAGACATTGGACCGAATTGACCGATTGATAAAACGCTGCATCAAACGATGGTTAGGACTACCTCAGCGAGCAAGCACCGAAATTGTGCACCTCCCATACAAGCAGGGAGGCACTAATGTCCCCCCCACCAGCCACCTCGCGGACATCGCTCAAATTTGCCATGCGCTTTATCTTTTTCAGTCCAGAGATGAAGACATCGCAGCCATCTCCCGCAACGCCCTCGCAGACGTGGTAAAACACCGCATCAGACGTGACATCACCACCGACGACCTATGCTGCTACCTAAACGGGTCCATGCAGGAGGAGTTCGGCCGCCCGAGCAAGGACATCACCTCTGTATGGACCAGGCTCCGCATGGCAACGAGGCGCCTGAAAAAGAAAATTGAACTCAACTGGACAACAGGCCCCGACGACTTACCCAACATCGTAGCGTGCGACAACCTAATCCGTGCCCAAGACTGTCAGCGCACACTTTGCGGACTGCTAAAGGTATACTACCATCAAAAACTTGCCGCCAAACCGGACCAAGGTAAGGCGTACAAGCTTACTTCTGCTAGCGAGGTGAGCAATCACTTCATAAACAACGGTCAGTACACACGATTTTCTGACTGGTATTTCATTCACCGAGCTAGATTAAGTGTTGTGGCCCTACGAGGCCACAAACGCTTTGGGAATGAGATTAAAAAATGCAGGCGTTGCAGCTACCAACGGGAGACTTTGGCACACGTTCTGTGCCATTGCCCCCCAAACTTCCACCTTATAACAAAACGACACAACGCCGTCTTAAATCGTATAGTCGCCGCCTTCAGACCCAGGGACGCCAAGGTCTACGTTAACCAACGGATCCCGGGCTTTAGCGAAAACTGCCGTCCCGACTTGGTAGTAGTTCATGAGGCTTCGAAGACCGCCACCATCGTTGACGTCACAGTCCCCTTCGAGAACGGCGCAGAAGCTTTCCAAACAGCGAGGGACGAAAAACTCCGTAAATACAACTCTCTCGTCCAATTCTTCAAGCAACAAGGCTTCAACACCCATATCAGTGCCTTCGTCGTCGGCGCCCTAGGAGGATACGACCACTCCAACGATTCAACCCTCCAGCGCTTAGGGATCAACCGACGGTATGCATCACTAATGAAAAAATTGATGATTAGCGACACCATCAGGTGGAGTGCGGACATATATCGCAATCATCTTAACTCGCAAGGACGTGCACCCTACCCACGTCCAAATGTGCCACAGAACTAATCCTTGGACTCAAACCCCATCTCTGTTTTACGTTGGCAGGCATACGTGCCCATGTCCGCGTCTTTAATCTTTGTATTTTTACTTGTCAGGCATACGTGCCCATGTCTCGCGATACTCTACATTGTTATGTATTGGTTGGCATTCACACGCCCATGTCGCGTGACTTGTACATACATATTTCGCCTATTCTACATCCTCAATGTAAATATTTATAATTATTCAATAAAGGCTTTTTAAATCTGTTTATTTGTGAACCAAGAAGTAGAATTTTGTGCTCTGTTGGAAGCATTGAATACCAGAAGTACAGTACTTTTCTACGAAAAATCTTATCTAGTGCTTAATTAAGTATGACACTTTACTGTATTTATTTCATGGGCACTAGAAATTATTTCAACACGATTTTGAATCTTCTTATAACATCAATGTCAACTCCAGCAATTCTTGCTGCCATGTCTGGATCACGAAAAAACGTCTGGTTTGTTGTCATTGTTTGTGTTTCCAAATCTTGACTTTGGCTTACCTACTGTGAATCCCATTTCCCTTCTGAATCTGTCTTACATACGTTTTTTGTGTTTACCATTATTAGCTTGTTTTTCTCTTTACGAACTTGCCACTTCTTTAGTGATAGTTTATAACACACATCCGATAAACCTTATCCATGCGTGAAGCACCGTTAAGCCAAATTCCAACCTGGAAGCATCAATTATGCTTTCATATAAAACTTTATCAACATAATTATAGTCCTTTAATGAGAGGCCACAAATGAAACATCGTTGTGTAGAGGTTGTTTCAGTAAGTTCATAACAAACTACACACATTTCCATCTACCGTTTAAATACAGTAGCATTTAATTAAGTATGACATATATTAAAGACGTTCTGTATTTAATAATAACGGATGAAATTTGATCCAATAATCTATTGCCTTATATCAGAAGTCACGGTAGTGACCCTGACGGCTACTAAAAAAGTCACTAACTGACAACATATACAGAAATTAGAGTTTCCGATTTTCGGGATTCGATTTTTCCGCCCCCAAACACCTATGGTAATTTCGAATATCTCGTCTCATTCGAAGGAAAATTATTTTCTTAATTTCAAAATTTCAAGATTTTGTATAAAGCGGTTGCTGCAATCAGTGCCGGCCCGAGGCAAGTTTTAGGATGGAGCGAGATCCTATTACGACGCCCCCCTTGGTTGCCCCTAATTTATACTCTTTAATTTTCTTTACCACTGAGGCGCCCCCCAGTGTAAGACTTAGCGCCTGGAGCGGCTACTCCGTTCGCCCTATGGTAGGGCCGGCTCTAGCTGCAATATAAGCATTGGAAAAGCGCAAAAATCTGCAAAAAAGCGGTATTTTCTTCTCGTTTCTCTTCATCCGGCACTGCAGACGTTCGAAAGGAGAGAAACCACTGGGTCCAGAAAGCTCAAATTTTAAACTTAAGCCTTTCTCGTTATCGGTGAGGCGCTGGCGAAACTTCCGGGTCTATAGGTCAAAGTTCACAAGGTTTCCCCATGGAGCTAATTCAGTTTGACGGCTTCATTTTATGCTTATAAAATGCAGTTTATTCAAAATGATACAAAAGCTCAAATTTATCCCAATTAAAACTTTTTATAACGATTTTACTAAACGAAGTTCAGTAACACGACGATAATTTAAAATATATTTTGATATAAACATAGATGACGTCATCGTTTCGTTACATTATTATTTATAACATCAAAGTTGACGGCAATTTTTCCTCTACAGCGATTTTGCTAAATTGTACGATAATAGGTCTACAGTAACATATAAGTGGACTATCTATATTCATGCCGTCCTTATCCCAAACAGTTTGTAGATATCTATCCTTACCGAATGTTCTATCACACGGTGTGGTAGTCACATAACACAAGACCCTCTGTTCTATCTATAAGGAGATAGCCCGATGTAGTAAGCACAGGATTGTAAGGAGTGAGGAAATTGTAGGGTTTTAGAAGAACCCTACAATTTCCTCACTGCTTAGAAATGAAAAGAACGCCATCGAGATAGTGCTTCGGCAGAAACAACTTGAAAGGTTAGTAAAGTACAAAGCCTTCGGGAAAAGGACGGTAGTTAACTTTAAGGAGACAGACTCTATTTCGTCAGGCTGGAGAGCGTATAAAAAGTTATAAGTGAAGGTTTCATCTTCCAATTGTCAGACTAGTAATATCTATCGCGTCTTTCTTAATTATGGATAATTAACAGAGACCGAGATTAAAACAGTTCTCTTTATTTCGCCTATTTCGGATTGGTCCCTATTCGCGCTCACGGCTTCAGTGTCTTTAACATAACGAACAAAAGGTTAGTTCGTCTTAATATACTTTTGTTATCCACAATAATGGATATAAAGCACAATTTGTACACATCTTAATGGTGTAGTTTCTACATATCAGTCTCTTGCACTTACTGGCATGTTTTCTTTGTTTATTTTTTATGGGAAAATGCCTTTTCTCGCAATTATTAACTCCTTTTTACCTCTCGGAAGGATTTTAACTTCGATATTCTGCTTCATAACACGACAAAGATCAAAATTTAGTTTTCATCGTAAATATTTTCACAAACAAACGATAACTACGAGCAATTGTCTATTGTGACACGGTCACAATGCCGGACTGCAATTCTTAATCATATTTTGAAATCATTTAATTCAAAATATCTCAAGCTAGTAGTGGCTTGCCCCTGTACATCACACTTTTCCGTTAACAATAGTCATCTGTTAACTGACGTTTTGAATTGAAAATGAAAAAAAAAACAAGACTTTCGGTTTGAATCGGAAGATCATATATAGTTAATTGGGGCCTCCTGTCTCTAAAGTTTCCACATCTGGTCTCGGATTTCATATAATTCCGTTCTCGAGGTTAAGACATGCGGACGGACGACAATGACAAAATTTGGAAATAAATGTAGCATTCCTCCCAAAGCAGAATTGTCGCGTTGTAAGTAAAAAAAATTCTCAGCGGTCAGGAAATAAAATATCATGGCACGAGAGGTACGAGCGAAAGTTTCAAAGTTGGATCAACACTTGCGGACGTGTCAAATTGATTAAGCGATCACATTAAGAATTTAGGGGAGAGATCCTTTAAAAAGTCAGAAATTCAAGGAGAAAGAATGATCGTTTCCCCCTAGCTCAGTCTGTTTATCCTCTGTGTCGATTTCCCCGTTGTCTCGGACTTAATTTTCGTTCGGCCGTATTATAAAGGTTTTTCGGTATTTTTAATATTAACTTTATCCAGTTTGATTAATAGGCCTACGCGAAACCCGCAACCCCGACGGCGACCGAGGAATCCTTCCGAAAAGCAAAATAATATTGGGCGAAATCCTAAGAATCTGATTTATTTCATGCCATGGTCGAAAATGGACGAAAAAGATATTTATTCGAACGAATTTCGGGAGATGGTCAAGCCTCGAGACGTAGAATTTAAAAAGATCGTCTTTTACCTCTCCACGGTCGACATTCTGCACCATGTAAATGCAGAAGATAATTTATTTATCAAATTTAAAAAAGAAAAATAATTATAAATTAATTAATTGAAAAAAATTTTAAAAATTTATTTTTTTTTAAAATTCTAATTTTTACGAAATTCGAACATTGTTGACGCGTTTTTTAACGTTTGTTCGAAATACGTCACACATGACGAATCGCAGTTCGACTGTGTTTCTCGTTGCTGTCGGACGTGCTTTTCTTTCGCTCTTGGATTGCGTGCTGTTTTCTGCGGTTTCGTGCCTTTTACAGAGAAGATTGAAGATTTTTTAGGTAAGTCTTAGTCCTTATTGATCCTAGACGTAAGAATTTATTTAATATTACTTGGAGAATCGGTCCCAGAAGACATCTCGGCACATCGTTCGATGGTCGACCGTTTGCGCTTCGGATTCGAATCTTTTAGATTTAAAAAGGCGGCTGCGGTGAGCAGTTTGCTTTTACTCGGAAGAATTTAAGCATTAATTTAAGCTTTTGTTTTCACTGGACTAATTGCAAATTTTCTTTTTTACAGGATGAAGACGTTGGTGCGTTGTTGGAGGCGGTTCCGGCGGAGGCAGGCGGTGGCGCCGGAGGGAGAGGGTTCCTCGGACGACGCGGAACGAGTCTGTCGTTCCGTGCCGTTGGAGGAGCGGGGGCTCGACGAGCGACAGGCAGCGGGTGAAGAAGACCTTCGCCAAGTGCGCGTGGCGTGGCATCCTCCCGGAGTCGGGATGATGCGACGCTACACCCTGGGTCCAGTGCGCTTGGCCGAGGTCTTCGGGGGTCATCCGGCCACAGACCTTGCTGTGGAGGATGTCGAAAGTGACAGCTCGTCCGAGCTGACACTTTCTGTTTGGTCGTGTTCTGCCCGTTCGTCCGCGACGGCGACGCCACCGCCTTGCCGAAGTCTGGACGGGGAGGAGTCGGAGGAGAGAGCCCCCGAAGTCGAGGGACCGTGCTGTCCGTGGTTTTGTTGCTGCGGACGGCTGCGGTTGCCTTGGCCTAGGCGGTGATCTTCTTCGACTTCCTCTTCTTCACCCGGATGCGACTTTCTTACCGGATTCGACACTTTTCACCCGGACATGACATCTTTTAACGGACGTGACCTCTTTTACCCGGACGTGACCCACGGACTTGACACGTTTCTTCACCGGACGCGACATTCGGCCGACCTTTCTTCCCAAACAGCTGTTATGAGGATTGAGCTTCCGGTTAGGGTTCGTTAGCTTAGCCTAGGCTAGGTCAGGTCCTTCGCTTTTCTCATAACACTGTTTGGGAAGAAAGGCTGTCTGATTAAGGTAATAATCTTGATCTTAGGTAATAAATGAATAAACTTCTCGTTTTCTCACTGCCTTTGTGTTTGTAGGAACATTTGGGAGGGAGAAGTATCTCCCTCCTCAACTTTACCACGAAGAGGACCAAGAAGTGGCCATTTATCGTACAAGTGAATATTTTCCGATGGTAAGAACTCTTCGAGGGACCACGGACAGCACGGTCCCTCGACTTCGGGGGCTCTCTCCNATGCACAGTAGTAATAAACTTGGTACTTAGGTTCGGGATAAACTGGACGTCTAGATGTGGATTTGCCACTATTATGATAGCATTTGTGCGGTCCTGACTTGAAAGATAATAGGCTTTGTAGCTTCCTAGTAGGGCAGGTTTATTGCTTATCAGGTAGGGTTCTTGGACAGTCACTAGATCAATGTCCATAGTGCTAATATCTTTGAGGAGCTGGGAAGTGGCAGCTTTGCTTTTCTCTAAATTTATTTGCAGGAGATGTAAAGTTGATTTTAACTGGGTATGCCCGATGTTGGAGGTAGCTGCTGAAACTTGTGGGATATACTGGTTGCTAGTACCCATAATTGGTTACTTTTATTATGTTGGTCTTTATTTTTTGTGTCGTGGGACAGATTGGGTCATAGGCATTATGCTGTGTATTATATCTTTTCCCCATAGGAAGATTTTTGTTTGAAATCATACAGTTAATGCAGATTGGTTTGAAATCTTTACCAGAACAATCGGAAAACTTATGTTCCTTTGTGCAGTGGCTACACCTCATTTTGCTCCCACATTCATGAGCGAAGTGCCCAAAACCGCAGCACTTGAAACAACGCAACACCAAGATGAAATCGTCTACCTTGACATGGCTCCAGGCATTAGAGAACCACATTCTATCCTGTTACGCTTCTGCTCCTCATTCAGTGAATGGAGAATCCAAAGTGCTTGTGCAGAATGTCGTGAACAGATGATGCGCTAATATCCAATAGTTCCTGAATCTGCTGATAGGTGATTTGCCTGTCTTTACAGCAGCTATATTTTCTGATATCACTGCTTCTGCTGGCCTGCCTGAGTTTGGGTCATCCTCCACACTAAAATTACTACTATTAAACTGTTTATACCATTTTGTTATGGTCTTCAAGGAAGGACAATGTTCCCCCAAAACAGAAGACATTTCTGAAAAGCATGGATCTGGTATTCAGTTTGTCCACAGCATCATTTTCTTGTACTTTAGCACTGCTTGCTGGGAAAGTACTAGAAACAGGAACTTGAATTGGACTTTACCCAATTTTTACACACTTCATTGGTGAAAGACTTGTTTTGGTATGACCAATAGATGTATAGGAAAAAACTTTCTGAGTGAGAATTAGCAAGGCGTCCAAGGAGACGTTGTTACTTCTGTTTTTGGTACTAGTGAGTCCAGGATGTTGGTCTAGGTCTTCCTCAGCTAAGGTAGACCTGTTCCTTAGAGTATGTTGGAGTACAGTCACATTCTGCAAAGCAGAGGAGATGGAAGAGGACAGTGGGTGCAGGCTCTTCAGTTCCCATCATTTTTGAGAGTGGCATTCTATGGATGTAGGCAGTTCTAAGCATTATATCCCAGTTCTAAGTACACTTGCTCCCAAAAGTTCCTAAGGGAACTGAAGACATTGTTGGTGCAAAACTAAGGGTAATCCTGATTCCTGGTGGCTATCTAACATCTATATCTCTTATGATTTAGCAGATCAGATTTAGGATTTTTTCCTGAAGGAGATTAAGTTGTTTGCCAGATTCATAGATTTGTCAGTTTGTTTTATGTAACTTTCTGTGGGTGGTTGATGTAGGGTTCAGCGCAACAAGAATAAGAAACAGTTATAACATAAAGAACAAACTTTATTTTATACAGTATGAACACAAAAAAAGATCAGGTCCCAACTCGGGTGTGTTGTTAGTAAATACTTTTATACAATAGTATAGTACAATCAAGATCGTTACACAAAAGGATCTTCTAAACCACTTTTCAGGATTCACATACGTGGGGTTCAAATCATAAAAGTATACACAAAGATTAGCGTGCTTAAAACTACCTTACAACCTATGTTTTTTATTCTAATTAATGCTAAAAGAGGGAAGAGATGTTAGATAAGGGGNCAAGGTTAAGGAGATTAATAGGATCAAAGATGTAGCTTCGAACTTGGGTTATAGGAAGAGTACAATAGAAGGGCTAATTAAAAGTTATGAAAGAGGCAAAAGCTTAAGAACCCGGGCAAATCAGTTAAAAATCACCAAGTTCACGTATAATAAAAACATCAAGGACATCACGAAGCAAGTTTCAGATAAAAAAACGCTCCAAAATTGTTTACAAAAGAGTTCCTAATTCGTATAGTGTTCTCAGAAACGACAAGCTTAATTTCATCAAAAATGTATCGTGGACGATCTCGTGGTCATGACCGGCGAAGTTTGAACGATCGTGCCCAAAAGCAGCGATACCAAAGAAGATTGGATAATGAGAACGAGACCTGCCTTGAGTGTCAAAGTGATTCTGCTTAGTGTTGTCTCCGAGACATAGTCGTGTCCCAAATACGGTTTTGCCGTTTTACTTGTTTAATTTAACCTTTTTGGTTAATATTTAAATAATATCATATTTTATCAGTTTTACCAGTATTATACAGTTGTCCAACAGAAAAGTAAACTATCTTATTTACAAATCTTTTCAAAATAGACAGTTTGACCGGGCCTTAGACATTTGTCTCATTCGTCTATGCGATGATCCGGCCCTGCGTATATGTCGGGTTTCGTCCTTCTTCGTCACTTGTCAGTGCCCGCCTGTTGCCAACCAGATAAAACCACTAAACTCTAGTTGTTGGTGGCGGGTTTTAGGTCCCGCCAACAACCGTTTTTCCGGATTTCCTTCACGTGTCTAACACCTAAATATGGGCCAATTTCCTATAGAAAGTTCTCCGTCAGACAATCCCGCGGTACTTGTATGTATATCACCCAGTGTTGCGTTGTCTTGTTCCCATCAACCCAATTAATCCGTTCCTTATCATCTAGCTGTCCTAAAATAGGCCAGGCCGAACCCATAATAAGTCTGACGAAGAGACCCTCTTAGACCCAGAGGATGATAGATGTAAAAAATCAAAAAGACCTATCATGTGTTTGCCCAAGTCCACGATGACAAATTGGCAAGAAACAGGCCCGACATATACAGAACAAATCGCCCTCAAAAACGTTCCGAAGTTTCTGATTCGTACTCGAACCAGAACAGAACAGAACTCAGAACAGAAGAATGGCGCCTTTACAGTCTCGAACATCTCGTCGTCTATACTGCAAACCCCAAAATTAAAACAATGATCTATGAAATATATATATACAAGGTTATATGCAATACATGTTGTGCAGTTGCCTTCTAAAAACTTTTTAGTAATCTTTCTTTTTTTTTTTGAACTTTTTTTGCCCTGTGGACGCTAAGAGGGCCTATTTTAAATTAGTAGTGGTTTGCCCCTGTACAGTATATCATACTTTTCCTTTAAGGATATGTGAGACCATCTAATTCCCATGACTAGTTAATCTACAAATTTTAAGTTTATCTGTACATTTTTTTATGTTCCTTGAAGAAATTATCACATTAACTATTTTCATGCCGTCCTTATCCCGAACAGTTTGTAGATATCTATCCTTTCCGAATGTTCTATCATAACACAACACAAGACCCTCTGTTCTATCTATAAGGAGATAGCCCGATGTAGTCAGCACAGGATTGTAAGGAGTGAGGAAATTGTAGGCTTTTAGAGGAACCCTACAATTTCCTCACTCTTTAGAAATGAAAAGAACGCCATCGAGAGAAACAACTTCAAAGGTTAGAAATGTACAAAGCCTTCGTAGTTAACTTGAAGGAGACAGACTCTATTTCGTCAGGCTGGAGAACGTATAAAAAGTTATAAGTGAAGGTTTCTTCTTCCAATTGTCAGACTAGTAATATCTATCACGTCTTTCTTAATTATGGATAATTAAAACAGTTCTATTTATTTCGCCTATTCGCTCTCACGGATTCAGTGTCTCCTACATAACGAACAAAAGGTTAGTTCGTCTTAACACGACAAAGATCAAAATTTAGTTTTCATCGTAAATATTTTCACAAACGATAACTACAAGCAATTGTCTATTGTGACACGCAATTCTTAATCATATTTTGAAATCATTTAATACAAAATATCTCAAGCTAGTAGTGGCTTGCCCCTGTACATCACACTTTTCCGTTAACAATAGTCATCTGTTAATTGACGTTTTGAATTGAAAGAAAAAACGAGACTTTCGGTTTGAATCGGAAGATCATATATAGTTAATTGGGGCCTCCTGTCTCTAAAGTTTCCACATCTGGTCTCGGATTTCATATAATTCCGTTGTCGAAGTTAAGACACGCGGACGGACAACAATGACAAAATTTGGAAATAAATGTAGCATTCCTTCCAAAGCAAAAATTGTCGCGTTGTAAGTCAGGTAATAAAATATCATGGTACGAGCGAAAGTTTCAAAGTTGCGGACGTGTCAAAAGCGATCATATAAGAATTTAGGGGAGAGATCCTTTAAAAAGTCAGAAATTCAAGGAGAAAGAATGGTCTGTGTCGATCTCCCTTTGTCTCGGACTTAATTTTCGTTCGGCCGTATTATAAAGATTTAACCTCTCCACGGTCGACATGTAAATGCAGAAGATAATTTATTTATCAAATTTAAAAAAGAAAAATAATTATAAATTAATTAATTTAAAAAAAATAAAAAAATTGATTTTTTACGAAATTCGAACATTGTTGACGCGTTTTTAACGTTTGTTCGAAATACGTCACGCATGACGAATCGCAGNTAACGTTATGCAAATCTGTGATTCCCAAGCCATAGTCTTATGCAAATCGTGCCGTGTGGCGTAATTGTCTGCTGACCAATCGGTGGCTGTACTTTCAAAAAGCCAACGGCCACTTTCAACCATCTGTCGATGACCGTTACAACTAAAAAAAAACTTCGCTAGGTCTTACTTTCAGGGGGAGGTCTTATATTTCGCAATTCAGCAAAATCTGTGCTAGGTCTTATTTTCTGCGGATGTCTTATTTTCGGGGAAACACGGTAGTTGCTAACTACAATAGAGCATTGATTATCCGAAACAATTTGGGACTGGGATTGTTCGGATAACCGATTATGTAAAAAAAAAAAATATATTAACTTATCCCATGTTGAAATTCATTCAAATCCTGGCATGTCCATAAGTACCCTCTCATGGTCATGCCAGCTAAAACAAGCACCCCAACAAAAATAATATTGGAGTAGCCCAAGACATGGCCAAAGATTGCACAGCAATAGCGGAAATTTAAATTTGCCGACTGGAACGCTTTCGATTAACTGATGTTTCGGATAATCAATGCTCTACTGTATTATTTGGTACGTTGCACTATTTTACATAGAGATCCTCTTAATAAGATTATCTACATTGCTTCTAATAGTCAGGCTACCTTAATGGCATGTGACTCTTGTCAGATTATTTCAATACTTGTTTGGGAGTGCTGTTTTCAGCTCAATGAGTTGGCTATCTGCAATGGTTTCTCTCTTGTGGATGCCAGGACATGAGGGTATTGGTGGTGATGTAAGTATGAGCTACTGGTCAAACAGGGACCTTCATATCTCCAATCATTTCAAGCATTGGAAGTTAACTCCTGGTTTAAAGCAGAACAAGACTTTTTGCTCAGCTTTCTCTCTGTGCAAACTAAATTTCTTTGCTTTTGACAGGAATCTTTTTTGCAGTTTGGTTAGTGTTGTGATGACTTTGATCACTTTTGTAAACATTATGCCGACCGAATTTTTCTTCTTTGGCCTCTTACTGCTTTTGCAATATCTGCCGAGAAGACTNTGACTAATATTATTTTTTTTTTTATTTTGTGCATGTTACAAGTTATAAATAAATATAAACAAACAACACTAACTCTATAACATTAAATCTAAATACCAAAATGATTAATTTATTGTGTTTTTGTTATTTCTTACTCCTATCTTTAGGTATTCGGTATTCGGCCGAATAGCAAAAAATAGGCCGAATAGGCCGAATACCGAATAGTAACCGAATATTCGTTACATCACTAGTTTCTCTTTGTAATCCGACGTGCTTTTCTTTCGCTCTTCGGTTGCGTGCTGTTTTTTACGGTTTAAAGACTTTTACAGAGAAGATTGAAGATTTTTTAGGTGTGTTTTAGTCCGTATTGATCCTAGACGTAAGAATTTATTTAATGTTACTTGGAGAATCGGTCCCAGAAGACATCTCGGCACATCGTTCGATGGTCGGATTCGAATCTTTTAGATTTAAAACAGCGGCTGTGGTAAACAGTTTGCTTTTACTCGGAAGAATTTAAGCATTAATTTAAGTTTTTGTTTTCACTGGACTAATTGCAAATTTTCTTTTTTACAGGATGAAGACGTTGGTGCGTTGTTGGAGGCGGTTCCGGCGGAGGCAGGCGGTGGCACCGGAGGGTGAGGGTTCCGTGCCGTTGGAGGAGCGAGGGCTCGACGAGTAGCGACAGGTAGCGGGTGAAGAAGACCTTCGCCAAGTGCGCGTGGCGTGGCATCCTCCCGGAGTCGGGATGATGCGACGCTACACCCTGGGTCCAGTGCGCTTGGCCGAGGTCTTCGGGGGTCATCCGGCCACAGACCTTGCTGTGGAGGATGTTGAAAGTGACGGATCATCCGAGCTGACACTTTCTGTTTGGTCGCGTTCTGCCCGTTCGTCCGCGAAGGCGACGCCATCGCCTTGCCGAAGTCGGAACGGGGAGGAGTCGGAGGAGAGAGCCCCCGAAGTCGAGGGACCGTGCTGTCCGTGGTTTTGTTGCTGCGGACGGCTGCGGTTGCTTAGGCCTAGGCGGTGATCTTGTTCGATTTCCTCTTCTTCACCTGGATGCGACTTTCTTACCGGATTCGACACTTTTCACCCGGACATGACACCTTTTAACGGACGTGACCTCTCTTACCCTGACGTGACCCACTGACTTGACACGTTTCTTCACCGGACGTGACATTCGGCCGACTTTTCTTTCCAAACAGCTGTTATGAGGATTGAGCTTCCGGTTAGGGTTCGTTGGGTTAGCCTAGGCTAGGTCAGGTCCTTCGCTCTTCTCGTAACACTGTTCGAGAAGAAAGGTTGTCTGATTAAGGTAATAATCTTGACCTTAGGTAATAAATGAATAAATAAATAAATAAAATACTTTCTTACTGGAACTACACTATATAAATAAAATCAAAACCTTTAAATAATCCAGCAAATCGTTTTTTAATATCTTAAAAACGCTTTCGAACGCTTTAAGCGATCATCCTCAGTTTTCGTTTTGAATCGAACGAAGAATTCGAAATTACGTAAAACAAAATTCAAAAAGCGGTTACATAAATGTATGTTAACATTTACCAAGTTTAAATAATTGCAAAAATTATACAAGTTAATTAAATCGAAATAAATAAATAAAATAAAATAAAATATATACATCCAGTAAAAATTATCTTAATTATTCTTCCCGCTTACATAAACTACGTCAACTCATCACAGAAGGATTTCCATGCCGATGACAATCCGTCAGCATCCCTATGATTAATATAGTTTGTGTGCAAGTGCGCCTTGTGAATTTCTAGTTTTTCCAGATGTTTTATGGCCTGCCTGGATCTTGTAGCTTTAATGATCGACGCCCGATCCCAAAAGACCTCGATATTCTATTGCTTGGCAACCATGAGAAACTTAAAGAATTGCTGAACATAAGCACTCGGTAAATAAAAACGTAGACTCTACGGTGCTTGCTGCCTTTGCCAAACAGAATATCGAGGTCTTTTGGGATCGGGCGTCAATCATTAAAGCTACAAGATCCAGTCAAGATTCCTACAAAACACCTTTGTGTTTTGTAGGAACATTTGGGAGAGAGAAGAATCTCCCTCCCCAACTTTACCACAAAGAGGACCAAGTGATCATTTATCGTACAAGTGAATATTTTCCGATGGTAAGAACTCTTTCGTTTCATTTTTTAACACATCTTATTCTCGTATCGTAATTTACTGTTTTCTATTTATAGACATGCCGAAGATGTTCTTCGATCATACACATACACGCACGGACATAACACCACTGTACACGAAGATATACACCGTTTAACCTTTACTCGAATTCTCGCACTCACGCACTTACACGTCAAGCGCCTTGTTCTGTGTAATTCGACACAATGAAACAACCCGAACACACGCTTCCCACAAATCCTACCCCTGGGTCCTCGTCCAGGGAAGCGGAAACGCCAATTTTAAAGATTAAAAGACTTTAAATTTGCGGCCAAAGGGGCTCTGGTAATCACACATCTTGCATTGATTAAATGGAATTTCATACATTAGCATCAATAATCGTTTGGTGATGAATTGGGAAGGAGAAGAATCCTGTACCAAGTATTAAACATTGTTTTTCCTACTATGTTTTGTTTTTGTGGCTTTTTTTTAATCGTGGTCTCAAACTTTTTCAGGCAAATTACAAGGAATAATTTGTTGTATATGAATTTTTTTTTTTTAACGTGCATTCGAATATCGAATTATTCGAGTTAGGAGTAGTTCGTGCACTGAGGCACCACTGTATATATTTCTAGCGCTGATATTTTAAATTAAGAATAATTTTGTAAAGGTCGCTTTTCATAAAACCTTTCTCCTGTTATCACGTTTCCTTTTAATGATAAATTTTTTAGTACTTTAATTAAATTGGTTTAATTAACTCCAAGCATGAAGTTTCTGCTGCTTATAACTGTAATTATTTTTGTATTAATTCATATTTCGTATGAAGAAACTACGGATGAATTTTGCTGTAAGTAGGATGGATCATAATGATGATAATTTATAGCTACAAAACGAGCAATTATTTATTGTGACATCGTCACAATGCCGGGCTGCAATTTTTAATCATATTTTTAATTAATTTAATTCAAAATATATGCTCTTCATTTTAATAAGCCCATTATGGGTTCGACCAGGCTACAATAAAGCGGTAGGTTGTGGAAACGGGCTCAACATAACAGGACGGTTCATCTCCCAAAAATTCCTTGGATTTTTCGGTTCTTCTAGTTTAGGCTTTTTCAGACCGATTGATTTTCATTGCTAGGCCATCTGACCGTCTACTACAGGATGAGCTAGCGCTTCAAGAAATAACTAGGAACTTCTTGAAATGGCAAATTTCAGCTGTGAATGCGACATATTGTGGCTGCACTCCATATGTATTGTAATTATTAATTTAAGTTAGTTTTTAAGTTTTCTTTGTTTTTTATTTCTTCTTCTTTCTAGAACCTTATATCCTTTCCCTTGGGTGGGATGACCAGTTCCAAGAAATAAGGTTAACAAAGGAGAGAACAAGACCCTGAGTCCCAAAAAGACAATAGGCAAGACATTCTTTACCAAGACTTGGGGGCATACGGACGTAGTGTAGAGTCTCCGGGTCGCGTTAGCGACGACCGGAGATGTCAGAAAGAATTCTAAGGAAAAAATCATGTCTTATCGTAGAGGCGATGAGACAGTGAAAAAAAGAAACTGAGTAGCAGAAAAGAAGACAAGGACAGGATTTTATTGAAGAAGACAACCACGGGCCATCTAGATAATAATCACGTGTGGCATCGCACCCCACAATAGACAAAGTGAAATACACCGAGAGAGAAACCCCGGGTAGTCCTACTTCTACTATATACTATTTCTTATATCTTCTTAAATCTATCCTTTTCTATCTTTAGTGTTAAGTTAGTATATGAGATTAGTTTTTAAGGTTTTGGGCTTGATCATATTGTCGCGATTGGGATATATGTGCTTTGGATGTACCATACTATTGTTCATTCCGCAATTTTGTACAATATACTATTGTACCGTGACGTTGGAATCCAAAATAAGAATCTGTATTATTGATAAAACGCGAAATAAATTACTTACGAAAATATACCATCTTATTGTTATCGTATTTTGTCTACTTTCGTGGTTAACTCTAATTTCGCGTGAATTTCACAATATATATAACAGAATTTCTGTCCCTTAGACCGCATGACAGAACTGCACAAAATAAGGTTTATATGTTATGTACCGTACAGTACACTTTTTCCACAATGGAGCGGCCGGGTCCGACATATCCGAACGGACCCGCCCCCAAAAAATTCCTGGAAATTTAACGATGTAGACCAGATTCGAGTCCGGGTCCCCAGAGCGGTAAGCTGTCACCTTAACTGTTGGGCCATGCGGTCTTTTGTATTTGGTAGAAATTCGCAAAATTAATTGAACAATGAAACAAAAAATTCAGAAATTAAATTCTATTTTTTAAAAAAAACATTCAATTGAAATAAATATTGCGTAACAATTTTCAAATTATTTAAAATCTTTTTAATTTTTAATTTTTTAAACTTTGTATATAATACATGGAAATTAATTACACATTTCTTGATTTGTGTATTTAAAAATTAAAATAAATGCTTAAAATTTTTATTTTATTTTACTGTCTAGAGTCGGAAATTGAATTCATAAAGAATCTATCAACCAATTACATAAAAGCTTACATCCGTTATTCGTCTTTCCTTATTATAAATAAAAATTTTCTTTATAAAAATGTATATTATTATAAATGAAATAAATACATAAAAGATTAACGTTAACGACGTATAATTAAAGTAATATAAACGATAAAGCCGACAAAAATATTTAATACAATAATTATCATTTTATTTCCCTAGAAGAATTACCAAAAGAGTTGAACCAATCAGCATCGAGCTCATTTAATCAAAAAGGAAGAAGTGGAGAATTGATGGAAGTATGAGAGGGTCAGTGATCATTCAATGGAAAAATGTCTCGAGCGGAAATGCTTTTATTTCCACAATAATAAAATAATATCGAGGAAAAAAAACCGATTTATTCATGATTCCCGAGAGTAAATGGAATGAAAAAGTGAAAGGTAAGCGTAACAATTGTAATGATGTCATCTTTGTCTTAATTCGGGAAAATGTTTCGGTTTTTATAATTGGATAATTTAAATATTTTAAAATTTTATTATAACGAATCAAAGTCGTTTATTAGTAGTTGTGTGATATAACACGGCAACGAACAATGTAATGAACGATTATATTGTATATCGATTTTAATTGATAATTTATTGTAAAAATAGCGGCGAATTTAATATAATTGCTTATTTTTACGGTAAAATGAAGCGCGAAATGAATATCTTTCCTTTTCTGATAGTGAAAGTCTCATTAATTGCATGAATAATTGTTGTTCCTTTGGTAGATAACCTATGAGTCACTTGAATCACTTTGGTAGTTATGAATCACAATCAAGTACTGTGTTTAGTTTTTTGAATTGTTTCCATTGATGGAAGTAATCTCGCTTTTAATTAGTTTTTTAAAAATTTTTCCTATATCTTAATAACAAAACTGCATGAAAAGAAATTTTATTTGGTCATATTATTATTATAAATAATGGTTTCATTTGTATAAAAGATAGCCGTGAACATTTAAAATAATATGAAAAAAACACCATTATATTAAGTTAGAAACATATACTTATTTTACTGTTATTAATTCAATATAAAAATTATAATTAATTAATTAACAGTACATTATTTTTTTTCCTCGGTCTTCAACTTGATGTGTTTATTTTCTTAAATTCAAATATTTTTGTTAAATTAGATAAATAATACACATTTAAAATTTAATTGTGTTTTTAAATCTTCAAGTAAACATTATGCATAAACAAATTTACATTAGTTGGCAATTTAACTTGTTTTCTCTTTATTAGTATTGGATTTTATTTCACGAATAGAATTTTTAGGAATAATTCTTTAACAGAAGTTTTTATTTAAAATTCTGACTTTTTCTGCTTTGTTCATAAAATATATTTAAATTTGTATAGAGTAAATGAATGAATTAAGCAATGGTATCTTCAATTTATGTAGTATTTGGAAATTTTGTTTTTAGAATATTAAATTTTATAAATCTGTTTATTTGACTAACGTTATAAAAATATTAGCATATGAAATTTGTTTGCCTTGTTGAAGTTGAATTAATCAATTAAGTATTATTGATTTGTTTTCTAGCTTTGTCTATTGGATCAAACGTGTTATTTACTCAATACTTGAAATTATATTGTGTAAACAGGTTTAATTTTTTATTGTCTGTCTGTCTGATTGTGTGTAAATCAGTTAGATCTTCACTTTCAATTAATTTGTCATGCAAAAAAACTATTCAGAAAAATTTGTTCACCAGACCTTGCAATTTCTGGTTAATCTGTCATTACATCTCTAATGATTAATATCAAAGGAAAGCGATATGATTAAAAACAATTTATGTATATTTAATAAAAATTTTTATTTTTGTAATTTTATTTTTTATTTAATCATTATTATTGAATATACAAATATGCAGATGTTACCAATATAAGGATATCTAAGTTGAAGCAGAGAAGGATTTCATTTTGATAAAATCGCTAATGCATTAGCTGTTTTAATCAAAATGAAATACTTCTCTGCAATGAAGAGCAAATGAAGATAATGTATTATTGAACAAGTGTATTAAATTAATGACAACAAAAAAAATTTTTTTTTAATATTTAAAGTTTTGCAAGCCTTCAGTTATGGTTAGAAAATCCTTTCAATATTAAATTAAAAAACAAAATTACTAATGAGTTGTAAAAACAATTTTATATATAAAAAAATATAAAGTTCTGATTTGTAGACAGTTTTTTTTTACATTCTTGCATTTATTCTTTTCAATTTTTAAATCTGATGATAAACATTTTCCACTTATATTATGTGTACTTTCAAGAGAAGTGATTGCCAAATCAAGCAACAAACAACTTAATTTTAGAAGACAAGGTTATATTTTCATATCTGAATGACTCCATATTCTCTGAAACAATCTTTAAGTGTAATTTGGAATAATTTATTTTTTAATGTCTGGTCTTTTTTTTATCTCTAGTTATATCCAAAGATTCCATTTATTCACAAGTATTGTTAATGATTAAGACTGTTGATATAAATAACAAATACATTTATACAACTAAATATGTATAAAAGCAAACATAAAATACAACTAATATGAAATAATTTTAGAAATTAATTTGCTTTTCATTATAATAATAAAACATTATTTATTTTTTCAAGCATGAAAACTATAGACAAAAGTAATTATATCAGCTTTATATATGAATGGAGATTAATTGTTTGATAGAGCAGCACCATTCTATGCAATTATAAGAGATGGTCTGTGGACTGTTACTAGTCTGCAAACCATTAATTGCCAGACCTTGTTTTCTAGGAAAGGAAACTTAGTATGAAATAATGTTTTTCAAGTGCACATATAATAAGTCATGTTATGGTATACACATGTCTAAATACAAAGATACTATTATGTTTTCTTGCATGTGAATTGAGAGGTTAGGTTGCATGTTTTGCATATAAAGCATCATGTATGCTCATTTTCTCTTTTACTATCCACATTTATGCATGATGTAGTAATGAATTTATTATTTAGAAAATTTTACTGTTAATATTTGACCTCGTGACATTAGCAGTTTGTTCTCTTAAAATTTGATTAATCTTTTATACAGGTTATTTTTTCGTATTTTAATGTATTGTAAAAAAATACAATAATGACCTCTATAAAATTTGAATCGTTTATTTTCTTAAAGTTGATTTAGAAGATTTTATTTTAAAACACATTTAACTATATAAATAACTTAAGTTTATAAGCAAAGTATTTACTTGTATATAGTCTATATATAAAATTAAGTGATCAAATGGATAAACAAAATATAGTATCAGATGCGACACAATGTGGAAAATTAATTACATTAACCAATTTGAGAAGCACTGTAGCAGTCATTGAAGATCTAATTTATCATAATTAAAATACTACCGAAACATATAATAAGAAATAAATTTTTTGACTTTAAATTTAGTATAAAATTAATAAAATGCATATCAAGATCATGTTTCTAACATAAACTACAATTTTAATATTTTGTTGCCTGTTTTCAGAAGGTTGATAACTTGATAATGAAATTTGACCTTGATGCTAATTTTGCTAAAGGTTCTTATGTCTGATACAAGTAATGCCTGATTATATCTTAATTACCCAGATATGACTGTGTTATGTTGAAGATATTTAAGTGTCAAAGACATACGATGACAATATAAATAAATGCAAAAGTATTGTTGCTGTTAAAATTAGCATTTTCTTAAAATTTGAATTCTAATAATGGATTTAAATAATTTTTAAAATTAGTGAGATTATGGAAACATAAAAATAAATAAATAAAATAAATAAATTTCTGTTTCTTTTGGTATATTCTTTCCAGTAATTATTTAGAAAAAATTTTGTGTGAAACATTGATGATTGTGATGATTGCTTTAGAATTTTCCATAAAAATAATTTTTAGTATTACTGTTTATAAATGATTAATTAATGTTACTGTTGATTATAATACTTTCTTTTATAAGCATCATATTAAAATATGGATGTTGAAAGTTTTTAATTATAGTGACTAACATTTGAGTGATTGTATAAACTAGATCAGAATTACATTTCATATTGTTCATATTAAATTAATTAATAGAATTTTAATCCAGTAGGGTGAACACCACCTGCACTTTATCTCTGGACTCCAGGTCTTATGATAATTTCTCCAGGTTGTACTGATTATTAAGCATTGCTAAATGAAATAACCAAGTTTTCAAGTATGCTATTCCTCTTTGCAGTAGTTGTCTTTTTATACATGTATACAATATATGATACTCTTGGGGATATAACATAGGCTATTCATATGTAAAACAAGTTGGATTTAATATGTTGGAATTTATTAAATTATTATAGCCATCTCTGCTAGGTGCACCTGGGTCTGTTAGTACATACATTTATACATTTGCATATCTTTGTTGCTATATTTTAGGGTATCAAGTCTCATTGAGTGAAGATCGGGATAAAGCAGCTTGTCATGTGAACAATATACTAGGATTATGGTTACATAATTAGTAGAGTGCAATTGATAATCATTTGACTGTAATAGTCTGAATTTACAGAGCTTCCTAAATGGATTAGATTTTGATAATATTTCTTGCGAGTGTAAGATAACCATTAAATTATTAATATAAAAACAAATCAACAATTTAAATTGTAGCTTCAAAATCTATTAGTTTTAATTAAACTGTAAAAATATCATGATTTCTTATTTAAAAATACATTAAAATGGAGATCTGAGATACAAATAAATATTGTATAAGCATAGTGGGCTGCAATTTGAAAAACTTTTAGACTTATAAATTCCCACTGTCATCTGTCTGTCTTTCCTGAAATCAAGAACAGAATTAGATAGATGAAAGATGAGACCAGATATGGAAACCTTATGGGTAGGAGGCCATGATTAAGTATATATGAACTTCCAATGCAAACTGGAAGTCATATTATTTCAATTAAAAAATTTTTTCCCCAAAAGGTGTTAATAGACAAAAGGCATGACTCTATTCTTAAAGGAAAAGTATGATGTACAGGGCAAACCACTACTAACTTGAGGTGGAGAGCATATATTTTAAATTAAACTAAAAATGTGATTAAAAATTGCAGCCTGACATTGTGACAATGTCACAATAAATAATTGCTTGTTCTAAATACGTTCCATTTACTGGTAATTAAAATTATCCCTTAGAATATATTATGTAGTCTCTTACAATGAAATTTCTGAGTTAACTTCATTCTGACTTCATCATTATGAATTAACATATATCATTCCATTTTAATATTATAATATATTCTAATCAAATTTCTTTTCATTTTGAATTTTATTTTGTTATCAAGCTTCTATATAATAAGTTGAGTAAATGTTATAAAAGAAGGAAAATTTCAAGCCTAAAACAAAGTTGAATCATTTACCAATTCATCTAATTTTAATGGCAATTTAAGAAGA